TTTTGGGATACTTGAAGTACACTCAAAATTTTGCTTTGCATTACGAGAAATACCCCGCAATTTTAGAAGGGTATTGTGATGCAAATTGGATCACCGGCTCTAACGACACTAGATCCACAAGTGGATATGTGTTCACCCTTGGTGGGGGTGCTGTGTCTTGGAAATCGTCCAAGCAGACTTGCATTGCAAGGTCAACCATGGAAGCAGAATTTATTGCTTTAGATAAAGCTGGTGAAGAAGCTGAATGGCTTCGTAATTTTATTGAGGATGTTCCTAATTGGCCAAAACCGATAACAGCCGTATGCATACACTGTGATAGCCAAACATCTATTGGAAGGGCCAAGAACATCATGTATAACGGTAAGTCTAGACATATACGTCATAGACATGATACCATAAGACAACTATTCTCGAATGGAATCATTACAATTGACTATGATAAGTCTAAAGAGAACACAGCAAATCCGTTAACCAAAGAGATTCCTAGAGAATTGGTTAACAATTTGTCAAAAGAAATGGGTTTAAGGCCTATCAATTGTTGATCATTGCGGCAACTCTACCTAGATGAGTGGAGTTCCCACGAACTAGGTTCAAAGAGACAACTAAGTGATGTTCGACTGTCAAGACACTGTGGAGTTTTTAAACTCATACCTATTCCTATGACAAGATAGTGTATTTATAAGGGTAAGAATTTAGGCTTTTAATAATTTCTTAATCTATTGTATTCAGATGATGTATAGTGAGTTACATCACAAGAAATCACCTATGTGAGTGTGAAGTGAGGGCCGCTTCTATGAGAATTTTTTCAAAAGGCTGATTCTCTAAAACACTCGCAGAACCAGGCAGGTGTCCCACGGCCAAAATGGGCACAACAAAGGACCAACAATGCTAGAGAAGCAATTGTGTGACTCCTATTGTCTAGGTATACACTAAAGGTCGACGGTTAAAGTCGCCCAGACCACCGATTGACCGAGTATATCTGATAGGTTTCACTAGAGAAGGTTCAAAGGTAACTCTACCTATCTCGATGCAATTGTTTCTTGTTGATAAAATTACACTTTGCATTCATATTCTTAAGCATTTAGTCACGATGAATTGACTTCTTATCCATGTGGGGGACAGTTGGACTTTGGGTCTAAATCCCATAAGTTATGAATAAGAAGTTTGGTAGTGAAAATATGTGTCTTTTCGTCGACAAACAGATGTATCTTTTCATCCTAACAGATGTGTTATTTCATCCTAACTGACATGTTGTTTCATCCTTGAATGGGTGTCTTTTCGTGTTGAACGAATGTGTCTTTTCGTGTCTAACGAATGTGTTGTTTCGTCGTCGAATATGTGCCTTTTGAAATGTGACCTTACGTTTTCTATGTATAGACCCTGACCCCTTCAGAAATTATATTTCAGTTTTCTGCACTGTTACTCTGCCGGATTTTTTTCTTCATCCGGTTTTGCATACTTCCTTCTTTTTTTCGGTGTAATTCCTCTGGCATCTTGTTATGTTCGTTCGAGATTTTGACTGGTAGTGCCACCAATCTTCAAACGTAATCCGTTCTATCCTGGGAGACAAGTGTCCATCAACCTTCGGCATCAGTGAGGGAGCAAATTGTCTTAAGGATACACATTCTGTGGGCTCGAATTTTTTACACTATCCTGCATACATGGATCACCCTGTTCCATTATTTGACATCCTGTAAGTCTAATTTCCTTATTGCACTGTGTTTGATAATTTTGATCATTAATCTCTTCTGTTCTATACATGGGTTCAAACCTCTTAGTGATTTAATATCGCCCACTGTCTTCCAAATAACAACCAATTCTAATAGGTGCCTGGTGTTTTTTTCAACAACCCTTTTTTGTTAGGGATTATTCACACATGCGCTTTGGTGTAGGGTTCAATGATTTTGCAAGTATGACGTAAGTTCAAGGTTGTGTTAGCCTCAGACATTATTAGTTATTAAGGTTTGAATTTGAGTCGGGAATTGGTTATGAATTAGTATATGAAATGTTTTGAAGACTTTTGTGACTTCAAACTTTGCCTGTAGGAGGTACATTGATGTTAGTCTAGTGTGGTCATCTACGAAGGTGAGGAACCATCATGCCCCATTGATGTTTTTGACACTAGCTGCTTCCCCAACATCACTATGTCAAAGTGAGAATGGTTTAGAAGAATGAAAGTTGTGTGTGGGATAAGACAAATTTACATGCTTGAACGATTGACAAATTTCATAAGGAGGATACGATAATTTTTTATTCAATAAATTAGGATACAAATGTTTAATATAAAAGAAATTTTGGTAGCCAAACCTGTAATGCCAAAATATTACATCGTCAATTTGGTTGGTTGAAGCATAGTAAGGGTGTGTATGATAACCATTCCGTTCCCTGACACTAATTCTGAAAAGAAACAATTATTTTCTATTTCTGTGCCTTGAAACAGTTTCTGAGAAAAAAATGTGCTTGATAACATGTTATATTTTTATCCGAGAATGAGAATTGTGTTTGATAACATAAAAAATAATATAAAAAAATATAATTCCCATTAAGCATAATTTTTTTTCAGATTACACTTTCTTTTCCATATGGTGTGGTGGTGGCGGCGGCAGTGGCGGCGTGGTGGTGGTAATAGTGGCGATGGTAGTAGCGGTGGCGGGCGCGGCGACTGTAGTAGTGGCGATGGCGGTGGTGACGGCAATAGAGGTGGTGGCGGTGGCGGTAGTGGTGATGGTAATGACATGATGGTGGTGGAGATAGCAGTGGCTGCGATGACGGTTGTGGTAGTTGGCGGCGGTGGTGGCAGTGTCGATGGTGGTGGCAGTGTCGATGGTGGTGGCAGTGTCGATGGTGGTGGTGGTGACGACAGTGGCTGTGAGGATGGTGACGGTAGCATAGAGGTAGTGGTGGCGAAAGTGGCTGCGACGATGTTGGTGATAGTTGGTGGCGGTGGTGGCGGTGATGGTGATGACAGTGGCTGCGACGATGGTGGTGATAGTTGGTGGCGGTGGTAACAGTGGTGGTAACGACAGTGGTTGCGACGATGATGGTGGTGGTTGCGGCGGCAGCGATAATGGCATGGTGGTGGTGGTGGTAATGACATGGTGGTGGTGGAGACAGCAGTGGTTACAACGACGGTGGTGGTAGTTGCTGGCAGTGGTGGTGACGGTAGTGGCTGCAGTAATAGTAGTGATGATGGTGGCATGGTGGTGATATGGTGGTGGTGATGTGGCGATGGGTGGAGATGGTGGTGATGGTGACAACGACACTGGTGATGCGACGACAATGGTAGTGGTGATCGTGTCGGAATAGTGGTGGTGGTGGTGATGATGGTAGTGGTGGAGAGTAATTGAGAGAGAAAAATGTTTCTCATTTTGTGCCAAGGAACATAAAAGCAAAAAAAAAATTATTCTTTTTTCTGTTCCCCAGCACAAAAATTAAACCGGTTCATCCCGGGAACAAAAAAATATACCGATTTTTCCAAATGAGTTTCCTATCCATTTTTGTTCCCGGAACAGAAATTAAAAAAGAATTGATTCCGGAAAGGTTGTCATGCACACCCTAAGTGCCTAAAGAATCATTTCAACTTGTAAGTGATCTTTATATTATATCTCTTTAATAGACGTAGATATTGTACATGTCTATTTTTTGGTTTTATCTTGTGTTGATTTAATTCTACTAGAAAGTAGGATATCGAACTTAAATCATTTCAACTCAAAAACTTAAATTTGTAACTGACGGACGAGCTTTCAATGGTTTTATATTATCTCATGTCACTATTTCTTTCTACATTATTTTGGGATTTTGTATTTGGTAGAGTCCAACAAATATCCTAGCATTGCCAATCCTCTTTCCCTATTCGAAATCTGTAAACTAACATCCATTCATATGGGACTGGACAACAAACTTCAAATATTTGGTAAATTTACTTATTGAGAGAAGATTGCATGTCAATTGATTAATAAACTAAACATCTTTTGGTAGTAGGTCCTTTGATAATTTTACTGTCCCAATGCCATCAACTTCTACTAAATTACTATAAGCTACTCTCGCAACTTGTTTTTCAGAATTTAAAACAAAGTTATATAGAAGGGAGGTATTACGAGACATGTGGTGGGAGGCTTAATTAAGGCCAAGAGGAAGCTGTAAATTCTCTTTCTCCAAAATTTTCTCAAAGCATGATTATATTTACAAACACTTATAAAATATACTATGTATTATGGGTATTATATATTACTTAAGCATGTATTATCCGTAGTACATAAAGTAATTTATATATAAAAAATTTGTAAATATTACCTATTCCATTTTCTTATAATTGGTTGCATCTCTGTTGTTTGTCCATTTGTGATCCTCATAGAGATTAGGTTGCTGCCAATACTTCACCAGGGCGTTATGAGTAACTTTTTTTTTTTAATCTACGTTTCAGGTCCTTCAAAATACCTAATATCTGGAACGTTATAAAGCAAAGCTTTTTCTTTTATCTGTATTTTTTTTATTAATACCATAAACAAGATGATACAAATTTGAGAGTATTGATTACACGTCAATTTGGTCAACCAATCTCACAATTTCAAGGAATAAAACTAAAATAATCTAAACAGTTAAGCATTATATTTTTAACGTTAATTGACTTATGACCTAATCAACCTAAATTAGGAAAAAAATAAAATAAAAATAATTTCATAAAAAATACGAGAATATTATATTTACAAATTTTTTTATTTATAAACTCTTACAATCAAATTTTAATCGTTGATTTCTATCACTATAATAATAATAATATAATGAGAATTGATAATTAATTAATAAATACGACATAATAAATTATAATTATCAAATTAACGGATATAAATTTTTTTTATATATAACCTTCTTCAAAAAAGTACATAATAAAATTAATCCAAACTAGAAAACAAATAATAACATTAAATAGAGAATAATAACAAATACAGAATAAACATTAAAAGGACACTAGCAGGTAAACCAACTTTTATACCCAAATTGCCTTTTAAACTTTCAGCTAACAACCCCCCTTGACTTTGCAGTTTGCATTCCTCTCACTAGAAGGTAAGTCGCTCTTTCCCCCCCTCTCCTTATTGTTGCTTTGCTTGGTTTGTGGCAACATTGTATGTCATGTTTAATTCATAGTCATCGAATTTGTAGCTATCGTTACGTGCGTTTGGGGCTCTATTATGTCGTTTACGTTGTATGAATCTTCGTTTTGGATGATCGGAACTCATTTCTGTATTCTGATATTAACAGTACTTTACTATGTATGATTTTGTTGACTCTGACTTTCCCTTTCTTTCTTTTGTTTCAATTGTAATTCAAGTGATTTTTGAATTCTTTCACCCAAAATCCATATCTCTACTGGGTAATCATCAATTTTGATCTTTGTATATGAAAGTCAATTTTTTTTATTATTATTGTTTTTTTACAGTGTTGGTGCTGGAGCTGGCAAGTTGTGGAAATGGAGAATCGAAACACAAGTGATAATAAAACGTTTGAGAAGTTCACATGGACAATTAAGAACTTCTCTAAATTGAAGTCTAAGAACCTGTACTCTGAGAATTTCATCCTCAGTGGCCATCAATGGTATTTGAATGAATTCCTGTTTACTATACACGCATCTCGTGTGCTCTTTTACATGATTTTTTTTTTTTATTTTTTTTTTTTAATTTTGTGTGTATGTTTTGGACTTTGCTTTTAGGCGGATTCTTATCTTTCCAAAGGGAAACAGTGTGGACTTCTTGTCAATTTATTTGGATGCTGGGGATATTGCTATTTTGCCTTATGGTTGGAGCAAAATTACAAAGTTCAAGTTCGCTCTAATTAATCAGGTCAATGAACAAATGACAATAACAAAAGGTGTCTTTCATACTTCTCAGTCCCTTTCCCTCCTTTTCTTTTCTTTTACTCTTTCTTGTTCTCATTTTTAGTTATTTGCTTTGGCTATACTATTTCGTTTGTGAATGAAACTTGAGTTTCTTAGCAATTTCATATCAAGGCTTAGCAATTTCATAACAACTGATGGGCTCCTTTACTCTTTTTGATTTCTTTGCTATTCCTTAATTCTCATGATTCCCTCTTTCCTGCTCATAGGTGTGGTTAGTGTAAAACTGAATATTTGTGATCTAATCTGTGGAAATTCTGATTGTATTACAGACGCATGCTAGTTTTTTTTGTGTGCATTAGCTAAGTGCATTTTGGTTAAGGATAATCAGGTTGAAACTTTCGTTTTGAAACCATTTGTTGCTTCTATACATAAAAAGGGAATTGCACAACAAACATTTTTTCCCTTTTATTTTGATTACTTAATTTAAGCTTTCATTTTTTACCTTTTTGACTCTAAGATTATTGATGATGTAGCAAAGAGTGCATGGGTCACATATCTACTAATTATATGCATACTTTTTATGTTTTTGTGATCTGGTTATATACATTATTATTTGTAAAGGTCTGATAGAAATATGCATCTGAAAATCATTTGGTTTAGAGGTGTATGAATATGATAAGAACATTACTAGATTCTATTTGATTGAGTAAAGCCACTACAAAAGCTTCCACTCTCCAATCATATCATGAGTTCTATATCATCTACAACACTAACATGGTGTTATATCCTACATGAAGGCTTAGTGTGACGGTTAAGTCATGAGGTTTTTTCATTTAATAGCTAGCCTTTTGGGCTGAACTCCCCTCCACTTATTGACTGATTGTGTACTTGTAATCATATATCCGTTTGAGAATCATATCATTTTATTTTTAATCCAACATAATTGACTCTTGATATATCTACTTTCCAGAAACTGAACACCAGTTCAGTGCACGAGAGATTGACTGGGGCTTCACATCATTCATACCTTTAGTTGAACTATATGATTCTAGCAGTGGGTTTATCGTGAATGATACTTGTATAATCGAGGCTGAGGTTTTTGTCACCAAGTCAGAACATGAGAATCAAGTAGATCAAGCTGTTAACAAGAATGATATTTCAGCAGAGTCTGCACAAGTTTGTGTTGAGACCATTGAGCATACTGGTAATCCTTTAGGCAAGGAAATGTGTTCAGCCTCATTTGGTGAGCTCATGGATTTCAGGGGTTTGGGGAAAATAGAGAAAGCTTTTGTTCCACTACTTGAGGAAGTATGTTCAAGGCATCCCTCACTTATTGAATGCCAGCAGAAGAGAAGTAGTAGGTTTGCTGAATGGGCATTCACAGCTTTGGGTCGAGTCTTACATTTTCTCAAGACTAAAAAGGTGAAAGATATGGACGATGATGCTTGTGAGCATCTTCAAATTTTATGGGAGGAACTTGAGACATTTAGATTTGATTTGACCTGGCTAGAACCCCATGTTCAATCTGCTTTAAGTATGAAAAGTTATATTGAGAGAGCTGGGCAGGTGAAAAAGATGAAACAGAATGTGGCTGCTCTAGAGATGGAAATAAAGAGGCTGAAGGTAAAGATGGCTGCTGCTGAGGTAGATATTGAAATAGCAACAAGAGACTTGGTGGAAGCAGAAGAAGGCTTCGAAGAGAAAGATTTGGATGCTGAACTAGGATATGGGGGACCGTAGACTTGTGTCACTTATTTAAGAATTCAGTGTATTTATGCAATCGAGGAATTGTGTATTTGTAAATGATTGAATATGCATCCAGACATTGATGGTTCCATTGACTGAAATGGTTTATCTTAAATTGTATATGACAATGTTATTATGCTAACACTATTTTCTATTTGATTCTTAGCTGCTTGAAGGCAGCTCAGATTACGTATCATGTTGGTGTTAAACGATGTCTAACATATATTAGGGTGTCAGTTTGGTATGGTTGAATCAGGGAAAAGATAAATGCATAGGTGTCACAGTATGACTATCTAATTCAATTGAAGGAATTTCATCCTGACCGAAGTAGTTCCTTAGGCTTGAATTAATCTTATCAACATCCACAAGTAGATCTTAGGAGGTGGAGTTGCACAAAGAAGAAAGAAACATAAAGTGAGTTACGGGCTGACAAGTTGCTGTTGCATCGAATTGTCAAGCCAATTATGCATTGAGTTCAAGCTAAAGCAATTGCAGAAAAGCTAATGAGCCCAAGGACAATATAAATAGTATATTTTGTGCTATTGTTGTGTGTAAAAAACAAAAATAGTAAATACAAAAATATTCACTTCAAAATTAGTTGAAAACTTTCGAAAAATGGGATTGTTTTGACGTGAGTATGTCACGTATGTAAAATGTTATTTTAGGTGACTCATTGTACGCCACCATGTGTAATAGTGTCTCCCCTTTTAAAATATTTGCCATGAATGTCAACTGAATTTGTCAATGGGAGGGTATGGGATAACTCATTTTCCAATTCTCTATCTCCTTTTGTATTTGTCAATTGCTTCATGTTGGGAGGGTCTGAGTGATTCTTTTCGTTTTAGTTACAATTACATTTACATTACATTACATGCTTCTTCATCCATATATCGTTGACTTGTGATCCACATTAATTTTTTGAAGCAAATAAAAAGCAGCACGAACTGAAGTTAAAACTTACCTGAAATTAAAAACAACTTTTAATTATACTCAACTTTCTCCGAGCTAGTTTTGTATTAGAATATTTTCTCCTTTCTTCTTCTCTAAGCTAAGTAATAAAACCCCGTTGACTTTGAATACCTCTCACTACTATAACTTTCCTGATCTCTCTGTTTTTGACCTTCATCTTAAGGTATGTTGCTATGTGAATTCTTTAACCCAATGTCCCTATCTCTCTTGGGTAATCATCAATTTTGAATCTTTATAAATATAGTTCAATTTTTTTATAGTGTTGGTGCAGGAGCTGCTGGTTGTGGAAATGAAGAATCAAAACAAGTTTGAGAAGTTCACATGGACGATTAAGAACTTCTCCAAATTAAAATCCAGGCAGCTGTACTCTGAGAATTTCTTCCTTAGTGGCCATCAATGGTGCTTGAATGAATTCTTGTTTACTATATAGTATGTTGTATGGTCTTTCACATGATTTTCATTTGTGCATCTTTTTATGTATGTTTTGGACTTTGCTTTTAGGAGGATTGTTATCTATCCAGAGGGGAACAATGTCTTGGACTTCTTGTCGATTTTTTTGGGTGCTGGGGATATTGCTAATTTGCCTTATGGTTGGAGCAAATTTGCGAAGTTCAAGTTGGCACTAATGAATCAGGTCAACGGCAAAATGACAAAAACAAGAGGTAATCTTTACTATGTTAAGTGTTAACTTCTTTTTTCCCATTCGTTTGTTTTGGCTATGTTAAGAGAGAGAACCGAAGCAGTAGTAAAACTGTTCCTTCATTACTGAAAGGTCATGGGTTCGAATTCAGGAAACAGCCTCTTTGCAATTATGCAAAAGTAAGGCTGCGTACAAGGATTTCTTCCACCCCACACTTGCTAGTCGGGTTTAATGGGGAGTGGTTTTTTTCGATTTTCAATTTGTTTTGGCTATGTTATTTTGTTCGTGAATGAAACTTGTGTTTCTTTGCAATTTCATATGGAGGGCTTTGCTTTGGTTGGGTTTCACATTTTTGGTAGATGAATTATATTAGTTATTAGCCGTTTGCCACATTTACCATTTCTAATCCTTTTACTATTCCTAGATTTTTCTGATTCCCTCTTTCGTGCTCATAGGTGTTGTTACTGTAACTCCATTTAATTGTTAATCTTTTAATATTTGTGTTCTAGTCTGTGGCAATGGTTGTTGTATCATTTACATATGCTAGTTTATTTCGTCTGTATTAGCTAAATGAAGTTTCCATGCATAAAATGGAAATCGCACGCAACCATATATATTTTTTTATTCTTTTGTTTTCATTAGTAAATTTAAGCTTTGAATTTTATCTTTTCGAGTCTAAGATCATTGATGGTGTAGAAACAAGTGTATGGGCCACATATCTACTAATTATAATCATACCCTTTTTTTCTAATGTGACAAAATTGACTCTTGGTATATCAAATTTCAGAAACTGAATACCTGTTCAATGCAGAAGAGATTAGCTGTGGTTTCGCATCATTCATACGTTTAGGTGAACTTTGGGATTCTAGCGGGGGCTTTATTATGAATGATACTTGTATTATCGAAGCTGAGATTTCTGTCAGCAAGTCAGAACATGACAATCAAGTAGATCATGCAGTTAGCAAGATTGATGTTTCAACAGATTCTGCACAAGTTAGTGTTGAACCTATTGAGAATACTAATAATCTTTTACCCAAGGAAATGTCTTCAGCCTCATTTGGTGAGTTCATGGATTTCAGGGGTTTAGGGAAAATAGAAAAAGCTTTTTTTCCACTACTAGATGAAGTATGTTCAAAGCATCCCTCACTTATTGACTCACAGCAGAAGAAAAGTGGTAGGTTTATTGAATGGGCATTCACAGCTTTGGGTCGAGTTCTACATTTTCTTAAGACTAAAAAGGTGAAAGATATGGATGGTGATGATTGTAGTCATCTCCAAATTTTATGGGAGGAACTTGAGACATTTAGATTTGATTTGACCTGGTTGGAACCCCATGTTCAATCTGCTTTGTGTATGAAAAGTTATATGGAGAGAGCTGTGCAGGTGAAAAAGGTGAAGCAGAATGTGGCTGCTATAGAGATGGGAATTAAGAGGCTGAAGGCAAAGATGGCTGTTGTAGAGTTAGATATTGAAATAGCAAGAAGAGACTTGGTGGATGCAGAAGAAGGCTTGGATCAAAGAGATTTGGATGCTGAATTAGGATATGGAGGACCATAAGAATAATTAAATTTGCATATAAACACTGATATTCTATTGACCGAAATGATTTATCTTTAATTGTATATTACATTTTTTATCAGACTAAGACCATTTATTATTGATTCGTAGCTGCTTGAACCCAAAGCAGCTCAAATTTGGTGTCATGTGGGTGTTAAATGATGGTAAACATTAATGGGGTGTCATTCTGCAATAGTTGAATCAGGGAAAAAGGATAAGAGCATAGTTGACACAATATCACTATCTAATTCAATTGAAGGAATTTCGCCCTGACGGAAGAAGTTGCATCAATCAGTCTTCTTTCTTAGGTTTGATTTAATCTTATCAACAACCACAAGTAGATATTAGGTGGTCGAGTAGCATAAATAAGAAAGAAAATAAAATGACTTTATCAATTATAGGCAAACAAGTTGCTAAGGCACATAAATATCCGTTGTGTTAGAATTTTGACCCTATCTACATTTTTCATCACACTTTCTCTGACATGAAGCTAGATCAATCACAAAAGAGAAAATGAGCCCAAGGACAATAATGGCATTGATTAGGTAAATACGAAAATATCATAACATGGTCACTATTTAGAATATTAAAGGCTTATAAACGATATTATACACCGAAAATAATTGTATTATCACACATAGCCATGGAAAGGTATCAGAAATATTGAAGAAGGAGATGAAACGTAAGAAAAAAAATAAAGAGCTCTGAGAGCTTTCTTGTATTCAATTTAAGAAAATGAATACTAATTTACATTGTAAAATTGAATTGTATTTATATAGAAAAGGGAATAATGTGGACGATAACACAATGACTAAAGTCAGTTAGAGTTTGTTATGATGAGCTAGTGGGCTTTTAGTCTATTGGGCTTTCATCCCCCCTTAAGCGTAGTGGGCTAGGGAGATAGGACACAGAGCTTGGATTTGAAGCCCAAAAATAGAGTGTTGGAAATGGCTTTGGTAAAGCCATCAGCAATTTGTTGGATGGTTGAGATGAGATGAACAGAGATCTGCTTCGCTAACACCTTCTCTCGGACGAAATGCAGACCGAATTCGAAGTGCTTTGTAGAGGAGTAAAAATGGGATTTGCAGTGAGTAGTACAACTGAGAGGTTGTCACAATAGATGGTGGTAGCTCGTGGTTTGGGGATGTGGAGCTCAGAGAGAAGGGATCGAAGCCAGGTTAACTCAGCAACAGTAGTGGCGAGGCAATGATATTCAGTCTCAGTGCTGGAGCGACTGACGACATGCTACTTCTTGGAGGACCAGGTGATGAGGTTTGAACCAAAGAAGACACAAAATCCACTTGTGGAGCAACGATTGTCAAGATCCAAACCCCAATCAGATTTACAGTACGCTGAGAGATGAAAGTGAGGGGAAGGATTGATGGTGAATCCATGGTTCAGTGTACCACTGAGGTATCTGAGAATTCGCTTGACAGCCTTCCAGTAGGTATCAAGAGAGGTGTGCATGAACTGGCAAGCTTTGTTAATAGAGAATGCAATATCAGGTAGCGTGATGGTCGCAAACTATAGAGCACCAACAACAGAGTGATACAGGGATGAATCAGAGAAGAGTGAGCCATCACGAGATGAGAGTTTGGGCTAGAGATCATGGGTGTGGGCATTGGCTTACAGTTAGTCATTTTGGCTTTAGTGAGAAGGTCAGTGATGTATTTGGATTGGTTGAGATGGAGGCCTTCAGCATATTCTCCAACGTCTGAATGGTCCTCTCAGTCTGACCATCCGTCTGTGGATGATAAGCAGTGCTCAGTCTCAACTGAGTACCAAGAGCCTCCTGCAATTCTCCCCAGAAGCGAGAAGTGAACTTCGGGTCCCGATCACTAACAATGCTCTCAGGCACCCCATGAAGCCTCACAATCTCCTTCACATAGAGCCTAGCTAATCTCTCAGCAGAGAAATCTACCCGTACTGGAAAAAAGTGTGCGTACTTTGTCAATCTATCCACAATCACCCATATAGAATCATAACTAGCTTGTGTTCGCGGCAAACCCACTACGAAATCCATGGAGATACTCTCCCATTTCCATTCAGGAACATCCAGAGGTTGCAACATACCAGAAGGCTTTTGATGTTCAATCTTGACCTTCTGACATACGAGACACTTAGAGACAAATTCGACAATATCTTTTTTCATACTAGGCCACCATAAATTAATCTTTAGGTCCTGATACATCTTTGTAGCTCCCGGATGGACAGTGAACTAACCCTTGTGGGCCTCTGTCATTACTTCCTCCGTCAACTGTCTAGGTACAACAATACGACCCTGATATAATAGTACACCCTCATCATTGCAGGATACACCACTCTGGCCGTTCAGTCGTTTAGCACTTTCATTTTGTAGTTGAGCTTCTTTGATTCTGGTCATCATTTCATTTTCGATTCTTGTAATTTCGATGCCACAAATTCTGCATGGAAAGACTTTAGATAATTTCATGTCTCTGAACCTCTCAATCACATCATAATCTCTCATCATCATGCTAGCTACGCTCACAGATTTCCGGCTCAATCCATCAGCTACAACATTAGCCTTGCCGGGATGGTATTTCAATTCGAAGTCGTAGTCCTTTAGGAACTCAGTCCACCATCGTTGTCTCATATTCAACTCTTTTTGATCAAACAAGTATTTCAAATTCTTGTGATCATTAAATACTGCAAATTTCATTCCATACAAGAAGTGCCTCCACTGTTTCAGCCCAAAAACAATTGCAGCAAGTTCCAAGTCGTGGGTCAGATAGTTCACTTCATGCGGTTTCAATTGCCTCGATGCATAAGCTACCACCCGCCTATCTTGCATCAGCACACATCCCAATCCCTTTTTGGAAGCATCGCTGTATAACTCAAATTCACCTTCCGGATCAGGAAGTACTAACACTGGAGCTGTTGTCAATTTTTCCTTAAGATTCTGGAAACATTATTCGCATTCCTGCGTCCAAACAAATGGAGTATCCTTCCGGGTCAAACGGGTCAGTGGCAAAACCATGGCCGAAAATTCTTTAATAAATCTCCGGTAATAACCAGCCAAACCCAGAAAACTCCTTACTTCCGTTGCAGTCTTGGGTCTCTCCCAATCAATAACTGCCTCTATTTTGCTAGGATCAACCGCCACTCCATCAGCAGAAATGACGTGACCCACGAATTGCACTTGAGAAAGCCAAAATTCACATTTAGAAGGCTTTGCATACAACTGTTTCTCTCTAAGAATTTGCAACACCGTTCTCAAGTGATCTGCATGCTCCTCCTTACTCTTAGAATATATCAGGATATCATCAATAAACACAATCACGAATTGATCCAGAAACGGCTTAAAAATGCGATTCATATAATCCATAAACACCGTCGGAGCATTAGTGAGTCCAAATGGAATTACCTGGTACTCATAATGTCCATATCTAGATCGGAAAGCAGTCTTCGGAATATCTTTCTGCCTGATTTGGATCTAATGATAACCCGACCTCAAATCAATCTTTGAAAAGACACAAGCACCCCTCAACTGATCAAGCAAATCATCTATGCGAGGGAGAGGATACTTGTTCTTGATGGTAACCTTATTCAATTGAAGGTAATCAGTGCATAACCTCATGCTACCATCATTCTTCTTAACAAATATAACTGGTGCTCCCCACGGGGACACACTTGGCCTGATAAACTGCTTAGTCGAAAGCTCCTCAATATGCTTCTTTAACTCGGCTAATTCCGGTGGTGACATCCGATATGGAGCCAAATAAATAGGCCCCACACCAGGCAATAGATCAATCGTGAACTCAATCTCTCTATGAGGCGAAAGTTGCGGAATTTCATCTGGAAACACATCCACAAACTCCTTCACCACGGAAATATTGTCGATCTCCTCATGACTTCCACCCACTAAACCCCCCACAAAGACATATCCCAATGCCCCGGCCCTCAAAGCCTTTCTAACCTGCAACACATATAGATATGGGGAAGAACTAGTAGCAGAATCATCAGCAGAAAGCACAATCTTTTTTCCACAACAGTCTATCATAGCACAGTTCTTCGACAACCAGTTCATTCCCAAGATAACTTGAAGGCTGATCATAGGTAAGCAAATAAAATCCAGCACATAATCTCGGCCTTCATATTTAAATTCAACATCCTTACATAAAACGGATGTATAACACTCTTCTCCAGTAGCAGTCACCACTTTCATTGGAGGAGAAATGTCGTACATTTGTAAATTTAGCCCAACGGCCATAAAATTAGACATACAGGAGTGTGTAGCTCCTGAGTCAAACAAGACTTCAATATCCATATTATCAATATAAATTATACCTTTCACAAGGTTTGGAGCCTTCTCTGATTGTTGACGGTCCATGGTGTACACTCTACCAACCGTCTGTGACTCTATCATAGGTGGAACAACCGAGACAGGGACAACAATAGCTTGAACTGCCATAGTCCTCACTTCATTCTGAGGACACTGCCTAGAGTAGTGGCCGGATCTTCCACACCTATAGCAGATCACTTCACCTGTAGCACACAGACCTCTATGCTCTTTTCCACATCCTCTACACTTGGGAGGAGGTCCTCTATCAACAAAATTCTTTTGAGTTCTGGGCTTCTTGAATAAGTCGAATGGGATGTTCACATTCAACTTCTTGCCTTTCATCTTCTTGTTCTTCCAATAACCTGAGCCCGTTGCTTTATTGGCATCAGGTGCCTGGGCCTCATAGGACTTCTTGGTCTGGGACCCCTTGTATACTTCTTCTACCTTTCGGCACTGATTCACAAATCTGCTAAACTCTCAGATGTCACAATTTGACATCTTCCGAGACATCTTCTCATTCAGACCCCATTGGAACTTGTAGGTTATTCCAGCTATAGTGGATAGGGCTCGCCCATAGTTGGCGTATTTCACCAACTCATTGAATTTAGCAAAGTATTGGTCAATTGACATCGACCCTTGCTTTAGATCATTATACTCATTCTGCTTCTGCTCCCTCGCCTCTCTAGGGAAGTAGTTG